AGCAAGAAAAAAATTATATTTAGCATTTCTGTTGTCTTTTAATTGAAATACAAACAATCTTCCCATTTGGACATCCATCGTTCCTATCTGGTTATCAATTATATCATCAACATTATTTGGAAGATAAAAATTTTCATGAGTTGTAATTTTTTCCTCCAATTCTTTTATTTCTGACATCAGATTTTGGTTAAATTTTCTCTGAATGATGCTCTTCTTGACTCTCTTTCCTATCAAATTTATTCTATTTAGCAATGTCTTGTCTTTATGTTGTTTTTTATTTTCAGATCGACAAGCCTTTTCTAAGTCTATCTTGAAATCTTCGCCAAGACTTTTCATATGTTCGATATTCTCCATAACTTTAGAATCCGTGTTCGAGGTGAACAGTACCTTTGACATTTCAATGGTTTCCAGCTTTTTTTCAATATTGGAAGAATATTCCTTCAGTTCTCCATCAATTTCTATCAAGTAAGATTTTATAGTTTGGGTTTGGTGTAGGCTATGCTCTGATTTTACACCTACTGTACAGAGCGTACTGCAACAATCCAGGCAGAAGTATCCAACTTTAACTTCTGGGTGTTTTAAACATTTACCTTGAGAAAGATCTAGTTTGAGATCCTGTACCTTATGTTTCAGCAAGTTATTATGAATTATTTTGCAAGAGACACAAAACACTTTTTGACACTGAAAACATTCATATTCAGCTGGGACGCTGTTTTCACAGACAACACATAAAACTCGTTGATCTTCATCGTCGTCATTAGCTTCATCATTAGCTTCATTGTCGTCATTAGCTTTGGTATCTTTATCAAAATCTTCATCACCAGCATTTTTAACATCATCACTATCTTCGTCATCTTCAAAGTACATCGGTAGATTATCAATTCCATGGATCGACAGCTTGATCTCCTTCCTACACAAAGGGCATGAGAATGGATCTATTATTGGTTGTTGGATTACATCAACGACTGCACAGGCTCGTCGGTCACCGTCTGTTTTTTTGTCAGCTAGTTTTGTTAAACACAATCGACAGAATATATGCTTACATGGCAATATTCGGGGTGATTTATAAGCTGCTAAGCAGATACCACAACAGTCCTTTTCAACAGATGGATTTTGTAATGGAGAATGAATATCTGCTGGTTTATTAGTAGCCTCAGTAAATGATGGGACACCAAAAACACCAAATTGAGTAGTTGATGGTATGTCTGTAAAACCAGAAGTAGAAGGTGTTTTAGTGCCATGAAAACCGCCAAACATGCTGGAGGAAGGGACTTTCTCTATAAGAAAAACAAACTTGGTTTTAGATGTTATTATCGAAAAACAAACAAAATCTTACGTACAGTGGTCAGCAAGTGTACATTTTCTCAGATTTGTTGGCTTCCTTTTCAAAGTTTCGTCTAATTTCCAAATGTGAAATACAATATGTAAGATATAGGTATGTATGGTATACATTGTATCTTTTTTGTCCCCGTTGGCTGAATATAAGACAGGACCATGTCACGTTGATGTAATGGACCTTATAATACTGAACCATGTAAATAAAGAGTTCATCATTCATTCAGTATTTTCACGTCTGAGCAGGGCAAGAAATGAAGCACACAGTTTATCATCGTGTCCAAACCACGCCCCCATTCGTCATAAAATAGTATTCGGGATACGAAGGTGATAAATAATAATATTTATTGCAGATATTAGGTAATAAGAATAAATACATAAATAGCACTGGAAAGACATAGGGGTTGTTTGATAAAAGGACAATAAAAAATCTTCTAACATTATATAGCCTCGCATAGCTTTTGAATTATTTGTGACTACTCTCTTGTTACTGTCAAATTAGAGAACTCGACTGAAATTCGGCTGTTGGTAGCCTGCTGGGTTCTTGTCATAGCTCGAGATGTGTCAACTTTCCCTTGGTCAGTAATGGCAAAGGCATCTATAGTCGTTAGGATGGGTATGCCTCAGGAGCGCAGATCGCTTTTTCAATGCGGGGGGCAGTGACGTAGGCCTACGCAGGATTTATTCAAAAGTGGTCGGACCGTAGGTGCGAATTCGATTGCAGAGTATAGCGGCATGAGAACGTTTCAGTTGAGCTGGTGACACCGTATCTTTATAGCTCTCAGAAATATAGAAAGAAAGGCACCTTCTTGCATGTTACTGAATTTTCCAGTCATCCAGCGGACCCCTATCCGACAGCCTGTTGGTCCGGCCACATTTAGCTTATGAATTAAATAGTGACTGCAGTTTTAATACGCCCACACATTAATGTGGGTGTTTATAGCCGTCGCCCGGCCAGTCAGGCTGTCGGATAGGGATGATGATAATTTATGTCCACATTTTAATGGACATAAATTGTTTGAATAGTGCGCAAAATTTCGGCACTTTGAT